CCCCCCTCTTTTTCTTGCTCATACCTCGAACTCTCATACTTGTCGCTCTCTACCCCTCACTGTTTTTATTTTCTACACGTACTCTGATAAGGAGTTGATTTATTCGGCCCATCTACTCCCTACCTGGGCCAAACGTGTTTTGGCGGGAAAGTCCAACTGATTTCTACGCACGTTCATGAGCGTGTAGCTGATATCGTTATCACTAAATTATTGAGTTTTTGCTCTTGGTTGTCTGTCTGTCTGCCTGTCGTTCTGTCAGCATGCGTGTCTGCCTGTCTGAATGCAGCATGAATTAAAGAATGTCTGTCAGTCTGAAGGTTTATCTGCATTGGCCATGCTCATTTGTCAGTACATATTTTTTATCCACACCCCCCCCTCCCCACCCCAACTCACCGAAGCACATACAAACAAGTACATAAATATTATACACCGTTTTGCAACGTTACTTTACGTCGCAAACAGACTCTCAAAGCTCTATCTCTCGCAAATACAAAATGTCAACAATACAAAATCTACGAGAACAGTAGCCAAACTGACACGAAGAAGAAACCGAAATGACAGAAAAACAACCACACAAACACACAAAACAAATCAAAACAACAAAACAAAAACAATAACAATATCAGAAGCAGTAAACAAACAAGATATGCATGTTTAAAAATCATGGAAAACGCAAGCAAAACAAACTAAAACAAAACAAGGTAAACAACTTTCGCCTGTTTAAAAAAAAAATTTTCCTATGTTTTCGGGAAAGACCCAGAGCTCAAGGCCGCGGCTAAGAGATAAGGTAAGCTCATAATACCCTCGTCTAGAAAGATACAGATCTAACTAGCAAGGTACACAACATGATTCTTTTCGGGTCGGCAACTTCTTTAGCAATGCCAATAACAATAAATGTTTAGAAGGCCTTAAAAAAATATGGCGCTTTCTCTCTCTTCTCTCTCTCTCTCTCTCTCTCTCTCTCTCTCTCTCTCTCTCTCTCTCTCTCTCTCTCTCTTTCTCCGTCTCTCCCTCCCTCTCTCTCCTTTCTCA